ATCAGAGGTGAGTCACAGAATCAACAGATCATGTCTTCAATCCCACCGCAGGTATCACTCGCTGTCCCTCACCTTCGCCTCCATTTCCATCACAAACAGTGGCCGCGAATGACAGACAACCCCTCACACAGACTCTCAATTGTTTGACTATCGATTGGACATCACTTGACAGCACATGACTGCCATTCCTCTAGTCTTTCGGCTGCCATTGGATATGATCTTAAAATTAACAGTTCATTGAATACCAGCTCTACTTTGGATGCCATAAAAGTACCCGAAGTCTAAGCCCTGAGACGTGCGCCCAATATGTTGTGGCATTCGTTGAAACCCCAGCCCTCGACGGCTGCCATCACTCCAGACATCGGCAAAGAGAACAAATGTCATGACTCATGAGTTTTTGATGAAAGACCACAAGAAAGTGAAATCCATTTCACAAAACGGCGGCGTTTAGGACACCAGAGCCGAGGCCGCAGACACTCCCGGAGCGGACACTAAGACCGACCCAACACAGGCCGACACCGGAGAGAATTACTATCAACAGCTGATGAAGAATCGCAAAAATCGCCATTTTATTTAAAATGCAATGAATATAACATAAAATAAATGAATTATAAATTGAAACTTAATTTGTCGTAAAATTGTTTTATTAAACACTCTTATTATGGTATAAATCTTTCTTCAGACGAGTCTTCAAATCACATGGTTTTAGCCTATGATTGATGTCATATCGCAGTCAGTGTCCGGCCATTAGTCCTACGTTGGGCTCGAAGTCCAGCCAACGACCAGAGGTATAACAGCCGTGAAGTACCCGTCAAGTGATGTCTTAATTGTCCATTTGATGCGAACTCTTCATATGTGAGTGAAGGTTAGCCGCGTAGGCGTAACTGTGTGTACATCCGGGCCAATGACACACATAGGGCTTAATGTTATTGTGAATATTCATGTGTTGTTTTAAAAGGGTTGACTGTTTGAACCGTTTGCCACACTCTGGCCATAAACACGGGAACGGCGTCTCACCCGTGTGTTGCCGTTTATGGCGACCAATGGAAGTGCCCGTCCACTCACATCCCGGCCAATCGCACGGATGCTTGCGTTTCAACAATGGCTTGCGGTTGTGGACAGAGACCTGATGTTTACGGCGTTGCGATACCGTGAAGAACGCTTCTCGGCATCCATTTGTGCTACACTTATACGTCGGTTCGCTTCCGTGGGTTCGTCGGTGACGGTCTAAACCCTGCAAAGAGGTCACTGTCTTCTCGCAGCCAATGAAATCGCAGGCAAATTGGTTGCCGTTATGTGTGTTTAAATGCGCGGTCAAGCATGCGTTGGAATGCGTCCTAAACTGACAGCCATTGTAATCACATTTAAACGGTTTATCACTCGAATGTGTGGTCATGTGATACTTGAGTCCACCCAAGTTTGGGTACTGTTTATCACATCCATTGAATTCACATTTGAATGTCTTTGAGTGCTGTCTAAACAAGTGTTGACGCAATGCAGTGTCCGTTTTAAAAGTCTTTTGACAATCACTTTTCGCACATTTGTATAAATTTGTGGTCAAATCAAACATTTTCTGTCTTTCGTTAAAACCTGGTGTCAGAAGAGAGCCCAGAATTGAACCACTTTTTGTTGGTTTATGTCTTTTGATTGCTTTCTTTGTCTTCGTTTCGATATAACTATTATCTGATTCTTCGCCCAATTCTTCGACATAACTCTCGTCCGACTCTTCACTCATGTCTTCGTTCTTATCATTCATTTGTTTGGCATTTGTTTTAGTGTTAGTCTTGACTGAAGTCTTGTTATGCTTTGGTTTACGAATCACTCGTTTATGACTAGACTTTCGCTTCAATTGTCTTCTTTTGCGGACAAATCTTTCATCAATTGATTGTCTTTTCGTGGATTCACTCGACTCTCGATGACTGTCTTCGGCGATGAGTTTTTCGACAAAGGTTTTATTCTCTTCACATTTAATCATCAATTCATCCAATGGTTGAGACAATACCTCGAAGTCGTGTTTGTCTTCACAATCGATAAGTGTTTCATATTTTGAGTGAATTTTATTTAAATGTGTTTTCAATTGATTTAAACATTTGTTTGCAAACAATAACTCATTTAAAAGTCGTTTGTTTTCAACCATTAATTCACACAAAATATCATTAATACTAATATTGAGTGACTNATTCACACAAAATATCATTAATACTAATATTGAGTGACTTTTCACTAATCAATAAATCCATTATTGAATTACAAATACTTTTAATTATAATTAAATCCAAATTAAACCACAATTTCTGTCAAAACAAATGCAAACAAAACATCAAAACATTCACTCATTTTTCAAATACTGTCACAAATAATGTCAAGAATTACGACAAAAAAAATTGCAAAAGTTTCAAACTTTTTGATGAGATTTAGAAACTCAATGTTTTGAGGGATAAAAGTGTCGTAAAGTCATGCCATGAGTTCTCTTTGTCTATGTCTGGAGTAAAGGCAGCCGTCGAGGGCTGGGGTTTCAACGAATGCCACCACTTATTATTGGTCGCACTTCTCAGGGATAAAAGTGTCATAAAATGTATTTGTAATTAAAGGCCATTAATAGAATATAACAATACATTAAGGTAATTATAAATGCAAACATAATTTGTCGCAAAACTTTATTAAACACTGAGTCATCAAATGTTTTTTTTTCTGACAAGTCTTGAGATCAAATGGTTTTGGCTCTGAATGATGTCATATCACAGTTAATGTCCGGCCATTAGCTTCGAGTTGGGCTCAAAGTCCGGCCAATAGTCAGAGGAATGGCAGCCGTAGAGTACCCGTCAAGCGATGTCTTAATTGTCAGACAATTGTTTATTTTGTATGAAATCTCTTGATATGTGAGTGAAGATTAGCCAAATGGGCGTAACTGTGTGTACATCCGGGCCAATGACACGCATAGGGCTTAACGTTGTTATGAATATTCATGTGATATTTCAAATACTCTGTACGACCGAACCGTTTGCCACACTCTGGCCATAAACACGGGAACGGCTTCTCACCCGTGTGTTGCAGTTTATGCTGACTAATGGCAACGCCCGTCCACTCACATCCCGGCCAATCGCATGAATACTTGCGCTTAGGTTCGGGCTTACGATTATGGACTGAGACCTGATGTTTACGGCGTATATTTTTCGTGAAGAATTTCTCAACGCATCCATCGGTTGAACACTTAAACGTGGGTTCGCTTCGATGTCTGCGCCGGTGATAACACAGACCTCCAGACGTGGCGAATGTCTTCTGACAGCCAATGAAATCGCATGTAAACAATTGCCTCGTGTTATGTCTCGCTAAATGTACTCTCAATGTGGGTTTCGTTTTGGCGCTAAACAGACAGCCATTGAAATGACATTTAAATGGTTTATCACTTGAATGTGTGTTCACGTGATTCTTGAGTGCAGACGGATTTGAAAACTGTTTATCACATCCATTGTATTCACATTTAAACACACGGTTTGTGTGATATCTATATAAATGTTTTCGAAATGATTCGTCGGTTTCGCATGTCTTCTGACATTCAGTTTCCCGACATTTGTATGAATTTGTGGTCAAATCAAACATTTTCTGTCTTTCGTTGAAATCTGGGATCAGAATAGAAGTTCTCGATTTTGAACCACTGTTTGTATTGTGTCTCTGCATGTGATTACATAAGTTGTCTTCGGAAACGCATTTATATCGACATCCATTGCAATCACATTTAAATGGTTTATCACTCGAATGTGCGGCCATTTCGTGGTTCTAAAGCGAACCTCTATTTCTATACTGTTTATCACATCCTTTATATCCACATTTAATTATACGGTTTGTGTGTTTTCTATACAAATGTAATTTAAAACTGGAGTCAGTTTTTAAAGTCTTCTGACATTCAGTTTTCGGACATTTATATGAATTTGTGATCAAATCAAACATTTTCTGTCTTTCGTTGAAATCTGGGATCAGAAGAGAAGGACTCGATTTTGAACCACTTTTTGTCGGTTTATGTCTTTTCATTGCTTTATATGTCTTCGTTTCGACATAACTATCATCTGATTCTTCGACATAACTCTCGTCTGACTCTTCACGTGTTTTAGTGTTAGTCTTGACTGAAGTCTTGTTATGCTTTGGTTTAATGTCTTCGACGACTGGTTTACAAATCACTCGTTTCTTATTAGACTTTCGCTTGAATTGTCTTCTTTTGCAAACAACTCTTTCATCAATTGATTGTCTTTTTGTGGATTCACTCGACTCTCGATGACTGTCTTCGGCAATGAGTTTTTGAACAATAGTTTCATTGTCTTCACAATTGCTCATCAATTGATCCAAAGCTTGAGATAATGTCTGAAAGTGCTGTTTATCTTCACAATCGATAAGTGTTTCATATTTTGAGTGAATTTTATTTAAATGTGTTTTCAATTGATTTAAACATTTGTTTGCAAACAATAACTCATTTAAAAGTCGTTTGTTTTCAACCATTAATTCACACAAAATATCATTAATACTAATATTGAGTGACTTTTCACTAATCATTGAATCCATTATTGAATCCATTATTGAATCCATTATTGAGTTATAAATACTTTTAATTATAATTAAATCCAAATTAAACCACAATTTATGTCAAAACAAAACATTCACTCATTTTTCAAATACTGTCACAAATAATGTCAAGAATTACGACAAAAAATTTGCAAAAGTTTCAAACTTTTGATGAGATTTCGAAATAAGTGTTTCATTGAAATGTTTTCAGTCAATCAAATAAAAAATAAATACAATATTTATTTACAAAATGAGTTGATATTTAAATAATAGTAATAATCGGTAATTAAAAGTATAATAAATATATGTATGAAATGAATGGCAATAAAAATGTGCAAACATTTCAATAGTTGGAAATGGATTTCACAGTTTTGCGATTCTTCATCAGCTGTTGATAGTATTTCTCTCCGGTGTCGGCCTGTGTTGGGTCGGTCTTAGTGTCCGCTCCGGGAGTGACTGCGGCCTTGGCTTTGGTGTCCTTAACGCCGCCGTATTGTGAAATGGATTTCACTTTCATGTGATCTTTCATCAAAAACTCGTGATATTTTTCACTCTCTTTCTCAGAGACGTCCGCCGGAGTGATGGCAGTCGTCGAGGGCTGGGGTTTCAACTTTTGCGATGACTTAGCGGACGGCCGCGCAGGCGGTGGTGCAGATCTGTCCACTTCAGGCACTTTCTGATCATTGCTATCGCTTGGGATGTGATAATACAAGTCAAACACGAAACCAATGATTGACAGAATCGGGAGATAAATGGTTAGGAATATAACGTTTGCCAGAAATACAGCCAAAGCCCAGAACCAGAGCCCAGAATCCCATTTGACGGCCGCGTAAACGGCGCCGAAGACAAGAAACCAATGATTGACAGAATCGGGAGATAAATGGTTAGGAATATAACGTTTGCCAGAAATACAGCCAAAGCCCAGAACCAGAGCCCGGAATCCCATTTGACGGCCGCGTAAACGGCGCCGAAGACACCGACGACGAGACCAATGAGTGCCGCGAAAAACAGATAAACCACTCGACAAGTGTTGCAACAGTTGGCAGTCTTCGGGTCGGCGTTGGGTTTAACCCACAGTTTAAAGACAAACACCAGAGGAATGAATGCCATAACAGCGGCTCCGCTCGACACGAGTGAAGTGTAAGCACTCGACAGGTATTTGTCGCTATAGTTGGGACACAAATGGACGCCGCCGTCAATCCGAGCCACCCACAGCACTGGTCTCGCAAACGACGACAAGAGTGCACAACACAAGCGTCACGTTTACGGCTAACCAAACAAATGTCAAGAGTTCTTCGGCCGCCACCACCGATGGCGAGGCGCCCATCGACTCGAGCGGACGCGGCTCTTGAGTGGCCGCCGGATACGTCTGTTTGATTGCCGCCGAAGTGTCGGACAGACTGGCGATGAAGTCGTTAACGTACGCGACATTGGCTTTGGTCTCATTGGGTGTCTGTATCTCCAGTGTCTTCACATATAGGGATCCTTTGCTCGAGTGGTTGATCCGCACTCTGACTATGGATGTCATCACTTGCTTTCGTTTCACTAAGAATTTGGTCACAAACTCTTTCACATCTCTTCCCTCTTCGGTGCCAACAGTGGTCGCGGCGGAGATCACCGACGGATCGACTGTGAAAGCGGCCAATTGTCTGTCAGACACCCCCAACACCTGTATTCTCAGAGCTGTTCCGTACCGGTCGTACCCCTTCTTAATGGGTCCGCACTTTAGCCGAAAAATGTACTCAAATTTGGCCGACTTTTTGCTGCACTGGTTGTACACTATTGTGGTGAGAAAGTTGTATACCAATATGTGATATTTATACTAGGGTTAATACTCAAATAGGGCCCAAACTGTGCCCAACACTACACCCACAACACCGTATGGCGAAGACAACTGTCCAAACATTGATCACTCAATTGTCACACAAATACACAAATACTAATCATTCATAAGATAAACAGTTCTGTTATACAAATTTATTCAAACACATTATCTCGTAGTCAACAATCAACCATGGGCAATTGGTTTTAGTTAAACAATTATTAGTGATCGATCGCGCGCTCATAAATGGCATAACTTATAAGTATTATTACTCTATTATTATTATTACCGTATAAATTAATATTAGTTAAGTTTTGATGTTGATAGTGATCATTAAATGGAAACAATACACTTAGTTTGATTCAACATTACATTCACTGCATTTCTTAACTTACATTGAAAATAAAACACAAGAAAAAACTTTTAAATTACTTAATACCAAGAAATTAGTTTGAGATGTGCAGGGTAAAACAGAAATTGTTAGTCTATACGTGTGAATAATTAAACTAATAATTTACAAGTTTTATTCAAAACATGCTACTTTGGTAGTAATTTTGAGAACAAACGCGAGCGATAGCGATCCGGGATAAAGTTGCGGGAAAGTGACCACAGTTGAAGTGCCCGACCCTTTGAACACTAGATTGCCTTTTATTCCCAACAATTGAATTGTATCGACAATTCTCATGTCAACGGATCCGAGAGTCAACCGATTGTTTAGCGGCCACTCGAGTACTATCGCATACACAGCGCCCGCCCTATGCGTACACCTCTGTGTATACCAAACATTGTTAGCGATGGTATCGTTTTGGTATTTCCAGGGTTTGGTCGCGTATATAGACTCGCCGTTTACCGCAAGCCACGAACCAAATTCTCGTAAACGCTCCTCAAATATGGGTATAACCCGTCCGTCAGGTGTGGGACCGATATTTATCAATAGATTTCCGCCACAACTTTGTTACAACATTTATGAAAGTATAAGTTATGTATATTTTTGTCCAATAAATTTGTTGTCCAATTAATGTTAACAAAAAGTGTCGTTCAATACCTGACAGTTTGTGCCAAAATAGTGACCAATTCGTGTGTAGTTATATAATCGCTGAGCTGTGCGTCTCGTCGATAACCCCACGAATACTTGTCTAAAGTCATGGCGTTCTCCCATTTGTGCAGTTGAAGTACACCCGGATTGTAACGATCGGCGCAACTATAAAAACCACCATGTTTACAATAAGTGCCTATACCCCACCGGTCATTCACCACAACAGTGTCTTTCACGGGACTGCATAGAAATAGAGATAAAATATTAAACATTATACTTATATATTGATAATTTAATTCATAGTTTACCTCTCGTTGTAAAGCCAGGCCAAGAAGTCGGTGCTATTCCAGTAGGTGTCGAGCGCTTCCCACTCGCCGTCAGACCAAATCACATCCGGTTTGTATGTATTGACCAATTCTTCCAGTTCTGGCCGCGCTTTAAATTGGACGAAGCGCTGAGTCGTCCAGTTATGGCGTTTATCGTCATTATATAACGGATTAAACCATTCAAACCACGAATGATAGGCACCAAACCGTAGACCCGCTTTGCGGACAGCTTTGGCCAAATCACCCAAAAGGTCTCGATTCGGGCCGACATCGACCGCATTCCAACTGAACGATGTCTTCGATGGCCACATAGTGTAGCCCTCGTGGTGTTTGGCCGTCAGTACCACGTATTTAGCGCCCGACGCTTTGAAAATGTCGGCCCAATAGTCGGGGTCATAGAATTCAGCGGTAAACTGATGGGCAAAGTCGGCGTAAGTGAAACCCGGATAATAGTTACGCGCCATGAACTGGTCGTAGGCCTCCTCGTGCTCTCCCTTCCAACTCCACCTGAAATATATAATTACATTCATTAATGTGTTATATAATAGCGAAGCGATTGTGTGACTCAAACCAACCAAAACCATTCGCTGCCAAACGATGGCACAGAGAAGACACCCCAGTGTATGAAAATGCCAACCTTTGCCCTATCGTACCAACCGGGCAGCGGTCGGGCGTCTATTGACTCCCAATTGGGCGCATAGTATTGATTGGAAATCAATTTATCGCTACTGTTGGCCAAACTATTGGCCAAAACAATGATGTGAACCAATATAATGTAATATTTCATTGAATTCATGTTCAACTCAATTAGTTTTAAAACTTGCAAAAAAGTGAGCCTTAAATAAAAAATACCGGTATTGAAATATTTCTGGATATCATTTTTACAATTGTAGTTTATATAAAGATATTTTACATAGAGATATTTCTAAATTAATAATATTTATTTAGATAATGTACTAAACTGCTGTGCGCCATATAAAATTAACCATGTACTAATTATATAAAAAATATATAATTATACAAATAAAATAAAATTTTTTTGTGCATCTTTTGTTCCAAACTTGACATTAAAATGTATATAAATTAAATTGAAAGTGAAAGCTATGTTAGCCTTCGTTGACTTAGATTAGCGATAATGGCCTCAAACAAACTAATCGGTAAAATTGTTATTTAATTACTACATAAAGGACACTGTAAAACTTGTAGTGTAAAACTTTACACTTACATGATGGACAAAAATTGTAAATATTATAATTGTAATTGATAAAGAGCAGAACTAGAATATTCTATACAAAGTACTCTAAAGTTTTGCACTAAAGTGCAATATATTTGACACTAAAATACAATTATAAATACCAGAAGTGAGAGCTAACCACCCGATATGGGTAACACTTAGCACGTGATTTGAGCCGGTTTTAATCGTGGTGATTACTTTATGTTAAGCGTGTTGGATATATTTGACACTAAAATACAATTATAAATACCAGAAGTGAGAGCTAACCACCCGATATGGGTAACACTTAGCAGCACTAAACTCGGCCAAAATTAGCACCACTAATGAAATACAATTCGCACAACCCGTCAAACGGTGGCATATTTGACCGCTCGTAAAACGTTAGGCATTTACTTATGTACCATTTTGTACGGGAATGTTTGCAAACTTGTGCCGGTGAGGCCTCCAGTCCGCGCCCCCTTTCCATTGCCTGTATATTTGAATTATCTTTTAAAATAAATAAAAATATTAATTAAAGTAAATACTATTTATAGTGTATTTAGGATGACCAGATGTCCTCTTTTCAGAATATTATTTAGTGGAATTTAATGATAATTTAGCGGACTTTTAATTTAGATAATTTGAATTTTAATTCATATAAGAAATTAGTATTTATTACTGAAAATTAAACAAATTTTAAATATAGAAAATATCACTAAAAATATGTGTTTGCCTTTTAAATTACAATAGATTTGGGCAAATGTACTCTTTTTCTATATGAAGAACTGGTAATCCTAAGTGTGTTATTGATAGTGAATGAAAGGCACGCTTATACTGAATGGTTTGAGAAAACGCACACATTTTGTCAATTTATATAAGACTTTTGTTTTGTTTTACTCTAAATAGGGTTTAATAACACGCTTTCAAAGTGCATGTGAAAACTATAGTGCAGTCACATCTCATACACAAACTAATTGATCCTGGTTTAATTAAATTTATCAAACTCAATTTCTACTTTATACAATACATGTAAAGCATGTACAATAAACATGTAAACTTTACAAAACACGCACTGTAAGCGTATTTGTTATACAAAATACTGCAAAATTGGTTATTTTACAAAACAAATTAAGTTTTACAATGTTTTACTTTGCTAATTAAAACCACCTAGACAAGATTTTATTAAAATTCCAATTACATGTTTACCAATCAAGAACAAACAATATTGTTTTTGTTAGATATAAAATTTACAATTTATTTTAAAAGATTTAGTTTTTAATATTACAAAATTTTTAAGTGATAATTAAAACTATAAATAATTTCCTGGAAATGGAAAATTTTACGATTATAAATAAATATATTTACAAAACATTAATAATGAGATTCATGTATGAATACAAACATGTGTTTTGCTTAATATGAATGATTGATTGGTATAAATGTGGTCCTTAATGGACATCATGTTTGCCGGCCAGCGATGCTATTCTGATGGCCGATGTTTTGATCATCACTGGACTCGTCGTGATCTTGATGTTAGTGCCGGCTTTGGGCGGACCGGCAGTCGTCAGGCAAAACATTAGGGTCGAGCCCATCATCACGTATGTCAAGCACTCAATTATATTCATGGCTTTTGGTGAAAGGCTTTTAAAACTTTTAATAACTTTTTTAAATGAAAGTTTTATTTCTCTTTTCAGAAGTTTATTGAAAGTTTTGTGACAAACTATTAGTCTTTATATACGAAATGAAATGCAACCAAATGTACGCAATTTGACGCAAATTAAACATGTATTGAAAGTATGGCATATTATTTGTCAATTGATTATATTAATAATTACAAAGTTTGTAGTCCAACAAAACAGCGAAATATGCTATAAAT